GCAAGACGTTCGACATTACGTACGTCAGGCTGTTCTATCACTCCCCAAGACCCGAGTCCTTCGCTATCTTCAAACGCACCGACGACGATAAGGAGTGGGTTCCTTATCAGTACTACAGGTGGGTGGCCCTTGCTTTGGGTTTTGGTTCGTGTGGTTCTTGGTCTTTGTTTGTTTGTTTTGTTCGTTTTTGTTTGTTTTCTGGTCTTTGTTTGTTTGTTTGTTCGTTTGGTTTGTTTTATGGTCTTTGTTGGTTGTTTTTTGGTCTTTGTTTGTTTGTTTTTTATGTTTTGTTGTTTTCTGGTCTTTGTTGGTTGTTTCTTGGTCTTTATTTGTTTGTTTGTTTGTTTGTTTATGTTTTGTTTTCTGGTCTTTGTTGGTTCTTTCTTGGTCTTTATTTGTTTGTTTGTTTGTTTTTATGTTTTGTTTTCTGGTCTTTGTTGGTTGTTTTTTGGTTTTTGTTTGTTTGTTTTATGCTTTGTCGTTTTCTGGTCTTTGTTGGTTGTTTCTTGGTCTTTATTTGTTTGTTTGTTTATTGTATTCTGTTTTTTTGTTGGTTGCTTCTTGGTCTTCTTATCCTCGCATGTTTCTTGTTCCTTGTAATTTGTTCTTTGTTTCTTGTTCCTTGTAATTTGTTCTTTGTTCCTTGTTCCTTATTATTTGTTCCGTGTTTCCTGTTCTTTCTCTCTTATCAGTTATTCCTTGTTCCTCTTTCACTGTTCGTGGTTCCCTGGTCCTTACCTCTTGTTCCTTGTTGTTTGCTGGTCTTTGTTTCCTGTTGCTTGTTGCTTATTTCTCATTCTTTGTCCCTTGTTTTGTTGTTCCTTGGCCCTTGTCTCCTGTTTCTTGTTCGTTGTTTTTTTGTTTTTTTTCTCCTGTTCGTACTCCCTGTTTGATTTATCTTATGCCTTGACCTTATTCGTTGGTTATTTTTTTCTCGTTTCCCTATGCCTTGTTCCTTGTTTCCCTGTACATTGTTCCTTGCTTCATTGTGCCTTATTCTTTGTTTCCTTATGCCTTGTTCCTTGTTTCCTTGTGCCTTGTTCCTCGTTCCTTGTTCCTTGTTTCCCTGTGCCTTGGTCTTTATCCCTTGTTTCACTGTACCTGGAGTTTATTCCTCGTTCCTTCTTTTAATTCACTATTCCTTGACAGTAGCCTTTGTCTCCTTGTTCCATGTTCCTTGTTATTTTTATTTAACCTTGGTCCTTGTCAGTTTTTGTTCCCTGTTCCTCTTACCTCTTTTCCTTTTTTAACGTTACACTTTGTTGTCAGTTCCTTATTTTTTATCTCTTGTGCCTTTTTCCTTGATTTTGTCCCTTGTCTCTTACCTTTTGTTCCTTGTTCATTTACTGTTCCATCTTTCCTTTATTTCCTCTCTCCCTCCCTCCCTCCTTTCCCTCCATTCCACCTCTCCCTAATTCCTTCCCTCCCTCCTCTCCCTCCCTCCCTCGCCTCCCTCCCTCCTTGATTATCATACTAACCTCCATATCTCCCTCTCCTCCTCCAGCGCCACCTGCCGCGACACCTACGGGATCCCGGACTCGAACTACGTGCGGCGCGAGGACGAGACCCGCGCCCTCTGCACATCCGAGTTCTCCGACATCTCGCCCTTGACTGGAGGAAACGTCGCCTTTTCCACGCTGGAGGGGAGGCCGTCGGCGTACAACTTCGAGAAGAGCTCCGAGTTGCAGGTATGTGGGGGTTGGGGGAGAGGGGAAGGGGGAGGGGGAGGAGAGGGAGAGAAGAATGGGGAGGAAGAGGGGGACCTGAGGTTTGAGTCTTGTTTGTAGGAGATTGTGTGTGCGTGTGTGTGTGTGTGTGTGTGTGTGTGTGTGTGTGTGTGTGTGTGTGTGTATATATATATATATATATATATATATATATATATATATATATATATATATATATATATATATATATATGTATATATATATTTAATACAATATATAGATATGTATGTGTGTGTGTGTGTTCACTTTTCAGCTAATTATTTTAGTATTTGTAACCACTAAACTGATATTCCCTTTTCTTTCAGTATTCTTTTTCTATTGATATCGATTTTTTTTAATCAAATAATTAAGACTATCGCACACCGTTTACCTTTTTAACGTATTTTACTCTTGTTTTTATTTATGATTTTATCCAGTAATCAAACATTTCCCATATTTCTCTCATTTTCTCAACTACCTCATTCTTCACAACCCCCTTATCTCTCTCTCATTTGAGATGAAAGCTTTGGTCTCAATAAACTTGTAAAAGGCAAAGTAAAAAGTCAAGGAACGTGTCAAATTCAAATTAAAAAGTAAAGGAATGTGTCAAAGTAAAAAGTCAAGAAGAATGTCAAAATAAAAAGTCAAGAAGAATGTCAAAATAAAAAGTCAGTGTCAGAAACATATCAGAGTCAAAATAAAAAGTTAGTAACACGTCAGAGTCTAAATAAAAAGCTAACTCCCGCCTTCCCGCCCTGCAGGACTGGGTGTCGGCCAAAGCCATCCGCATTGTG